AAAACATGACCTACCTAAACTTACACAGAGTGAAGTAAAAACTTGAACAGACCCATAACAAAAGAAGAAATTAATCAGGTCATCAAACATCTCCCAACCAAAAGAAGTCCAGGTCCAGATGGCTTCACTGGTGAGTTCTACCAAACATTCAGGGAAGAGCTGTCAACAATTTTACTCAAATTATCCCAGATAGTAGAAGAGGATGAAAAACTTCCTAATATATTTTATGAAGCAAGCATAACCCTCATAACAAAACCATGAAGGACATCACTGAGAAAGTAAATTATAGACCAATATCTCTCATGAACATAGATACAGAAATTCTCAACAAAATCCTAGCCAACAGAATCCAGCAGCCCATCAAAAAAAAAATAATACATCACGACCAAGTGGGATTCATAGAAGGCATGCAAGGATGGTTCAGTATTAGAAAAACAATCAATGTAATACACCATTTAAATAAGAAAAAGGAAAAGAACCACATGATCATATTGATTGATACAGAAAAGGTATTTGACAAAATCCGACATCCATTCCTGATAAAAACACTCAACAAAGTAGGAATTGAAGGGAAATTCCACAACATAATTAAGAGAATATGTACAAAACCAACATTCACCATCACTCTCAATGGAGAGAAACTGAAACGTTCCCACTGAGAACAGGAACCAGATAAGGATACCCTTTGTCACCACTCCTATTCAATATTGTTATGGAAGTCTTAGCCAGAATTACACGGCTAGAGAGGGAAATTAAAGGCATCCAAATTGGCAAAGTAGAAGTAAAACTCTATTTGTAGATGATATAATCCTATACATAGAAAATACCAAAGACTCAGTAAAAAAGCTACTAGACCTCATTGGAATATTTAGCAAAGCGGCAGAGCATAAGATCAACATACAAAAATCAGCTGGGTTCTTCTATATTAATAATGATAGCACTGAAAAGGACATAAGGAAAGCAATACCATTTACAACAACCACCAAAAGGATGAGCTATCTAGGAATAAATGTAACCAGAGAAACAAAGGATGAAAAAATTCAAGCCTTGACATTCGTTATTCAAAGATTCTCTG